AATTAACAGAGGCACTCTTTTGAGCACGGAGTTGCATTACCGCAATTGGAAATTGAAACAGAAGCCTTACATTAAATCTCTATTAAATATGCAGAAACAGTGTCTAGCCTCTGATTACTGTATATTGCACAGGATAAATAATTAATTATTAAATCTAAGTTTTGATGGATATGATTTGATTTAAAGATGTTCGACTGAGCCAAGCTTAAGGCCGGATTAGCTGAGGCACAACTGCTCCTGGGCTCAAATGCCAGCTATATCTAAATGACATTATTTATTTAAATCCCCAGTCGATTCATATCCCAGCAGCACAGGATCCTTCAAGCCACATTTTCTGATGCATATTTCAGTCACACCTTCCTGCAGTATCGAAACGTTATTATGCTCAGTCTGACACCGTTAGTAGGTTATGTATACATATATATATATACTTCATGCATATGTCATATATAGTACTTTCACTACCGGCGAAAACAGTAAATTATAAGTTAATTCTACTTTTTCTTCTTTAAAGTGTTTTTAATACTGGTTCTAAGAGGTAATATAAACGAGTTCTGTAACAAATTATGGAATACTTAAGATTTTCACTGAAGTTCGTTGGTAATGTGAGTCGTTTTTATGTGTCCTGGCATCGTGTAAATGTGGGATGCATTGCGGAAACTTCACAGATAGCTTCAAAGGATGGAAACATAATTGTCACTTCTCAAACACGGTCGAGAGTGAGAGTTTTTTTTTTCAGCGAAGTTTACATTCACATTATAGGTCTATCACAGTTACAACACCTGCCTCCTGCACGCGATTCAGATAGTGAACATATCTTCACGGTGTCAGACAACTACGTTCATTACATTACAGGGCAGTAAGGGATACTTAATTTTACCATATTCTACGCGAAAAATGGTACAGCTTCCTTTTCATATATTAACTTTGTTACACCGTAAAACAGCTCACTGAAAAGATTTAAATAGTAGTGACATTTCTGACAACATTTGAACGAAATAATGTCATTATTACAAAATTTATGATCAGTTAAACATTCCATGAGACAAAAATGATACGTTAGAATATTAAGAAGGGCTGAATGTATGTATGTATGTATGTATGTATATATATATATATATATATATACAATTTTCTAGATGTCTTCCATGTGTAATATCATGCAAGGCATTTCTCGACCAAAGTTTAACTTCTCTAAACGTAAGTTACATTCAAAATGTCTACACGTGTACTACACATACAAATATGAAGATATTTAAAAATTCATTAAATTTAATCATAATCACATATTTTCAGATATAATATTATTAGAACAATAATTTACGTTCACATAAAGTACAATTCAGGTATAGTCTTTTAATGTACAGTCCACTATTTATAAATACTTTCACTGTTCAGAACATCTATTCGACTTACTACGGTCAGTCATGGGTACATTTGTTATAACGAGCGTGTACGTAAGTAACGCACTGTGCTGTAATTTGCTGCAGTACATTTAAAATGATCCTTTTTGAAACACACTTCAGTTATCGCATTAACCGTTACACTGATGATGTAGCGCCGTGTAGATATTCTGTAAACCGACTTACTCAGTCTGTAGGCACCTGCTCAAGCTGGTTCCTTGCTCACGGATTTTTATACCATGAAGATGGAGGCGATACGTTCCGAAACGTCGGTTTACAAAATATCTACATGGCGCCACATCCAATAAGACGGAATTCTTCAAGGATTAATTCATCTGTGTGTACTCGTAGAGTCTGGTTGCAGCTTTTCATTATCAGTAACTGTTTTCGGTGTTGTGCTGAAACAAAGGCCTGTTAGTTCTGTGAAAAACAACAGCGTGGTTTATACGTTTAATAATCTGATGTGTAGTAAGTCTGAATTTTCTTTGCTGACAGAAACAAGCTCTATTATTCGAGTTCGATGTAATTAATTGCATTATAAATAACCCTTCAACCTTTACAATCCTTGATTCCCTATATTGTTAATTTCAACTTTGGCAGAATAATTGCACAGTATACAAAAATACACACATATCAGATACTTGTTAAACCTGAATCTAATTATTATTATTAGCATCATGAAGGTGCTTTATGTATATCTTTCAGTGTACTGATACCTTTTAGCAGTGCGGTAGTATAAGGTCAACATGAATTATGATTTACACAAATGCATATGAAACAAAATTAATCTTAACAATATAAAAAGAAGCGTCATATATAAAGTACAAACGACAAAATATCGTACAACAATTAATTTTCCATTAAAATAATATATATTTCAGTGGGTAGACAATATTAGAATGGATCTTAGAGAGACAGGATGGGATGGTATGGATTGGATAGATCTGGCTCAGGATAGGGACCAGTGGAGGGCTCTTGTGAACACGGTAATGAACCTTCAGGTTCCATAAAATGCTGGGAAATTCTTGAGTAGCTGCAGAATTGGCGGCTCCTCCAGAAGGGCTCAGCTCCATGAGTAAGTAAGTATATTTCACACATTATGGGTTAGAACTTTGCAGTTTTAGAGAATAATAATAAGTATATTCAGAATAAGAGTAACGCATTATTTTCGAACTATAAAGAATATCGAACTTAAAAGCGNTTTCTTCATTGTCATCGCCGTGAAAACCTCAAAACTTACAAGAAAAGTTCTGTTTAAAAAACTGTATCTCTTTTAGGCCGCAAATTAATTTGTACGGAAAGTGAATTCATATTATGAAAATAAACTATAATTTCATCTATATCAGACAAACGAATGTGCCTGCTATAAAACCAACTAAATACATAGCATCAAGTAAAGCTTCAGCACTGCTAATGCTGACTGTTGACATTCATATTTGTAACACAGCTTGTTACAGAATGTAAGGACACATTGTTGTAGTCACTACTGGGTGTGGAATGAAGCGGATTTCATTTAGCAGTTAAAATAGAATGTGATGATGGCAAAAGACATGGAAAACTTGCTCAGAAAGCTTGTTGGGACAAAGAGGAAAAGCAGTAACTTCTAACTAGCATCCTACATGTCTGTATAATTAGAACAGTGAAAGGAATTCAGGCAACCTGAGAATGCAGCTGTCCCACTGGAATCATCCAGACGGATGACTGAGAGGTTACACGTATTTTGTAAAGAAGGAATTTATGAAAACAACGAAAATTTGCATTGTTTCAGGAAAAATAGTTCATCGGATGATAGAAAGAACATATAATTGAAAAAATTGAAATATTATACTTAGATTAATTGTAATGGTAAGGGTTTGATTACGCATCAGTCCAAATTTTACTATATGGCGAAATTACTCGTTTTTTAGACCTGATTTCCTTAAAAAGTAAAGCTATCCCTGTAACAGGCCATGAAGGCCCATAAGGTTGTGAGACTTCGAGGCTCCCACATTTTCTCTTGATAGTCGTCTCACAGATGGCGGTAAGGTTGTCAGTTTTACGCGCCAGCCGCCCTTTACCCCACGGGAAGATTCTTGGTAGTCATTTCTTCTAGAGACTGAGTCGATCCCAGGGCCACAATGCCGCTGGAAGGATTAAGTAAATTTAAAATTTCCACCTCATCGGGCCTCGAACCCGCGAAATTCCCGCTTGTAGTATAGTGTCTCAATCTCAGGTACAAATATTTATCTGAGCATTTTGTTTTCAGACACATATGATTAGTGCTCTCCTGAAAAGCAAGAGGACATGTTTCACATCCACATAGGAAAATTGGAAAATACTTTTTGATATCTTGAACACTATCTTCAGAATTTTGGGAAGCAGTTTGATGGTTCATTTTATGAACTCAATGATAACAAGAAATTTTAGAATTCGTTATTCTCCTAATTACGACACAAATCTCACTTGTGTATAACTTATTAAGATCTTAGTTTCAAGCTATCTTTTACTGTAAACCTGAATTCAGTGCTTGTACTTAAAAGACAACAGGTTTTATGTTCAGTTCTGGACGTGATGACGAAGAGACAGGAACCCTAACACTAGATTTGTTCAGCACTGCGAACGTGTCGACAAAAACAAATGTTTTAATGGAAACAATAACGAAATATTTGCTTTCTTATATAATAAATTAGCTATAGCTCTTCCGTCCGGTCTAGAAAACCGAGATTAACGGCCGTGGGGATCCGTTGCTCTGACCACGCGACACCCTCTATCTGCAAAAGTTAGCACCAACTTCATCGATAGGCGGCAGTCGCTCGGTCGGTATTGTTCGCTTTTGAACTAAAGGCCTCGGATGAAATGAAATAGCTCTTCCGCTAAATGATATTTAACGCTACATCACGCAGTTGCATACTACATCTCATACTACTTAACGACAAAGGAATACATTTAAAACAGTTTTTGCATGTGCAGTTCCAAAGTACTGATCAGAAATTAATTTACTTCGCCATCTGCTCTTGAATAATGTAATGTGGATGGCCAGAACTTTGCTAGGTAACGGACCGGTAATCACCCCGAGACCGAATACACACAAGGCAACAATAGAAGAATAGCCATTTCTAGGCAGCGACCTGTAAACAACCTTCAGTTGAGTGAGTTACAACAATATGAGTCAAGAATGAAAGATGTATTTGTGGTCCGTGTGAAGCTTATAGAACGAGTATCCTGAACTGATGAACGCTGTGTTTACTGTAACCGGGCGTAACTCCCGATCGGTATCGTTGTTTGCGTTGTGGGCCCCCCGGACATACTGGTAGGAGAACTGGCACTTGGTGTGGCTACAGCGATTACAGTTTATTCTTCAGTATGAGCACATATCTCAGCGTTTAGACATGGAAAGTTACGTAAAATTTGGGCCTGCGCCATAGCTCAAGCGTTTGGTCGCTGTCTTCCCACCGCGGCGGCCCGGGTTCGAGCGCGGGTCTGGTGAAGTGGGATTTGTGGTGGTCAAAGTGGCACTAGGGCAGGTTTTCTCCGAATACTTCGGTTTCCCCTGCCAATCTTCATTCCATCAATTGCTCCACAATCACCCTCACCTGTCATCTGGTACAATAAGCCAGAAGTGGCCGCAGTACAAGCGACTTAGTCCCACCCCACTAGCAATAAAAAAAATACCTAGAATTTGGAGGAAAAGTAGACGCCTGCCCATTGTTTTGTTTTCAGTACCTGAATGATTGTATTTCGATCATATTAGCTAACTGCAGATTCCATCATACACATTTCATCAAAGCACACATCTATCCCTTCACAGTACACAGCACTATAATTGTGGTTAGAGGTATTGATTTACACTTTGCTCTCTTCTGCTCTTACTGCTCGAGTGAGAAACTCGCGACTTCTCCAGTCTTAAAGAGGATTGATATTTCAGCATGCTAGACCGAACCTTTCTACGTAACGTTTGGTTTGAGAACTTCTGACCATTTGATATGATTAACAAGCATCAGCTTCCCGAAATGTACCTCTGGCTGAATAGGTACATTACTGAAGAAAGATGTCGTGGCCTTCTTGAGGTACTGTCCCCGTTTTTTCCACGAGGAACTAAGACAAACGACAAAAGTCCTTTTTGGTAGTTGTACTTTTGGGGCTATACTTGAACTGAAGCCTCCCGAATAAGACGCAGGAGTACTGATCACTCGTTCGGCGTTTCTTTTGCTAAGAAGATGTTACTTTATTCTGGTTATAAAAACAGAATTCCAAAGTAGGCACTGGAGCACAAATTATAGGAACCAAGAGGCCTTACGTTCGGAATATTTAATGGGGATACCGCCTACACCTAGAGATTCTGGAATCAAGGAAGTCAGTCTAATCCATCATAGTTCATGGTGATGATGATGATGATGATGATGATGATGATGATGATGACGATGATGACGACGACGACGGCCACGACGAGAATGTGGTGGTAGTTAATGCTAGTGTTTCAAAGTTAAAAAAGGTTTTACTAAGAAGATAGCAATTCGCATGGCAGTCATATGGTGGCCCCCCGTCACCCTAGCTAGGCATGGCCCCAGATTGCGGACGGAGGACGCTACCTCCAACAGTGTAGGGTAGCAGTGAGTACTGCCTAAGGAATTAGCAGTAGTCAAGACCAGTCCTCCAGCTTGATGTATGGTAGAGGGAGGAGTAAAACACCTCACAATGAAATTTAGGCTCTTACATAAATCCTCATAGGCAGAGAGAAGATGTCCAGTGGCGGGCATTTGTGAACACGGAGGTGGGTTTTCCGATTCTGGGCTATCATGAGATCCTCAGAAAACTGGTTACTGATATAGGCAAATAATTTTACATGACAGTCTAAACACATCGACGATGAAGTAAGATACAGATTTACAGCTCCAATTTATTCAGGGATGTCTGTACAGTTACTTTATTTAAATTCTCTTTACTCCACACCCAATAGCATTTTCTCCCATTTCCAGTAGGTGAGCTAAATTTGCTTGCCAATTTAAAGCAGGTTTTGTACATTTTGGTCTTATTTTAAAAATGAAGATGTCTCTTAGAAAAATTTGCAGCATGCCATCTTGTTCTGTAGTTTCTCCCTGAGGATTAATGGGCGAGAGGCTGACGGTAGTTCCTCCTGCTTTCACTCAGGACACTGCGATGTGCGCGCTCTGTAGGGCTGGATCTGAAACAAGAGTAGAGCGAACTTAGTACCATAAAGGACGATGAAGTCGGAATACAGCAGTGACATTCGTTTTGCACAGAGCAGATATTCTCATCTGTTCGTGTCATGATTGAGTGCTGTTTACTTCAGATATTTCACGACATTTCTCCTGCTTAGAAGCATTTCCGTTGTTTGAATCAGTCACTTTTTTTTCTTTAGTGGGGTGGGACGTAGGATGGTATGGATTGGATTGATCTGGCTCAGGACAGGGACCGCTGGAGGGCTCTTGTGAACACGGAAATGAACCTTCGGGTTTCATAAAATGCTGGGAAGTTCTTGAGTAGCTGCAGAATTGGTAGCTTCTCCAGAAGGTATGAGCTCCATGAGTGGGTGAATGAGTTGCGTGGAACTGAGTCCACTTGCTACTGCAGCCACTTCTGGCCTATCATACTAGACTCAGATGATGGGTGAGGGTGATTGTGGAGCAATTGGTGGAATGAAGATTGGCTGGGGAAACCGAAGTACTCGCAGAAAACCTACTCCAGCGCCAGTTTGTCCTCCACAAATCCCACAGACTAGACTCGTGCTCGAACCCTGGCCGCCGCCGTGGGAAACCAGTGACTAACCGCCTGAGCTATGGCGCGGCCATCAATCTCTTTAGGTCAGCCCTGTCCAACGCGGCGCCCGCGGTATATTTTTCTGGCGCCCTCCGTAACCACATATAATTGAGCCGATTTTTAATATTAATTCAAATTGTAAGACAAGAGACATTTTTGAACGTCTGAGTGCTGTTAAATATTTTCGAAAAATTGTATTATTATTATTATTATTATTATTATTATTATGTGTGTATGTACGTATGTATCATATGTGTATTGTCCTTTCTCATCACATAATGGAATAACCATTCGAAATGTACTTATTTTATTTTTCTCGCCTGTTAAGGCTA